GATTTGCCGCAGCTCTTAACCCTGACATAGGAGTGGGAGGATGTGCTGCTGTGGTAGCCCAAATCTGTCCTGTCACGACATTAATCAGATTTCCATAAAGGCATGCATGAATAATTGGATTTATCAGTGAATGTTAACTTACACTCATAAATATAATTATTTTAAAAAAATAACTGCGATTATAGATAAGATATCTGCACCTTTAGGGATTTGTTTTTCAACTGTGGTTACCTGACTCACCTTAGCAAAAGGCTTTACAAATTACACAGACACACAGTACCAGTTTGCAGATGACAGAAAGATGACAAAAATAATTTCAAAATGATCACCTACTATGTTCAAATTCCCTTAGTATACCGTGTTGAAAATAAACTTGAAATTTGTGGACAGGTTTTAAGGTATACATCATACACATCTGAGAGTATGTGCATGTTTTACTTGCATTAACATGTATCTAAATACCACCTATATGACCTATTGCTGATCCATTGCTACTTCCCCAATGCATTACAAATTAGGCAGTATCTGTTAAGTGAAGTCTGCATGCTATACACAGACTTCCACAAGCACCTGTCTCTATGCTACAATTTGTATTGTAACAATTACCCAAATATTCCTATTTTCATGTTACATTATCAGAGTGTATGTTAACAATTATATTTGAATATATGTCTACAGTTGAAACTTCAAAATAAAACCTAATATCACTCAAATTAGAGAGGGGAACTAAATAGGAGGTTAGGAGAGCAGCCTAGTAATTCAACAGGCAGAAATTACATGCCTCCTAATATAATATAAATATTTATTTCAGCATCACAACCATAAGTTTGGTCAATTTAATCCTTTTTTTAAAAAAAATAAGACATGATCACTAAAACACGCCAACTGTAAGAAGAGGAGTAAGAAGGGAGGAGGAAAAAGTGCAGAAACCTAAGGATGGATGATGCCTGGCAGTGAAAGTCATTTTCAAAGACCATTAACTAGCAGCTGCTTTACTCAGGGCTCTGATGAAATAAGAATATACATCCTATGTTAAAAGAGATGTCTGCATGAGTTGGATGGAGTTTAGAATAAAAATATGTTGTATGAACTACCAAAAAGAATCAAACCACAGTAAACAATTAAACACCTTGACTTCTGGGGGGAAATGATACCTTTAAAACTGTGCCTTTTAAACTGTTAGTGAATAAACACTCAAATTATTTAGGGGATAGGGTAAGAAGTCAGACAAAACCACTATTTCCAATTTAAACTATAGTTTCAACAAAATGAAACTCTGTTTGCCTAAATGAATAGAAAGAACTAAGAGACTACTGGGAGAAAATTTCATATCAAACATTCTTTAAAATTCATTCCAGGAACAGGAATTTATTATATACTTCTTACAATATATTTTATTTATCATTTCTCTGAAATGTGCTAGATTTTATATTAGTAAGAAAGTTTGCTTTACTCTCTCCTATCTCTGGTGAGCAGATGCTCTGGCATTAGTGTAAATCGTTGATTTAATTTTTAGCTTTCTTGGTTTGCCCCCTCACCTATCTAGGAAATTATTTCTCTGGTGATAACTAACACATCATGCTAATGAGAGAATCTAGTGCACAATAGAAAAAATGTCACTATTAATAATATTTGCATGAAGTTAAATAAAGCAACTGTAAGAGAATGTCAGACAGTGTTCTTTAATAAGACACAGTTTCACAATGAAATTATGTTGTTAATTGTGTTACATCATTGGGTGAATCCTAAATTACTACATAATGATGCACACAGTCATTTATAATTCTAACTTAGTATTTCACTCATGTCTGAAAAGAGACCTTATTAAGGAATCTACATTTTATTTGCAAAGGTTAAATATACCTCACCAATAATTAAAGGAAAATGCCTCTAGTAATATAAACGGGTAAAATGTGGGCCATAGCCATTTACCTGTTTCATTTCTGAAAAGATTTCAAAATATATTAGATTTGCATCCCTTGTGGTACCTACAAAAAAATTTATATGCTAGTCTCTCAAATACAAAACATTTTAGAAAAACCACCTTTTAAAACCTGATTTTTAAAAAACAAACAAACCCCAACATTTCCAAAAGCAGGCCTTATTTTCTGCTTTTAACAAAAACTTCATGAGGTTAAAATAGGCAAAATAACGTTCTGGACTCCAGGAGATTAACAGAGACGATGAGTAAAGTGTTTCTGGTCATTCTCGGCCTGTCACTGATCAAAGTAACCCAAGTAAGAACTCCCTTTACTAAGTCAAGAGTCATGCCCTTTAAGGTTATCAAATATTTGTCTGTATGGAAAAAAATTATCCCTTTTGAAAAAATCATAATGGAATATGGGAGAAAACTGTAGAGAGGCAGAACAATGCACTCAAATTGTTACATCTCGAACTTCAGGAGAACATCCTTAATTCCACCAAATCTAAATTGGCTTCACATTGTGCTATCTTTTTGTCAGTATTAGACAGACAGAAAGATTTATAAGCAGATTCAACTTTACTCACACAAAACAAAAGACAAAGATGTTTACATCTCTACCTCCTCATATACCTGTAAAAGACAAACCTAGATTATTAAATTTCAGTATGCATGACACTTTTTCTACTACAACTTGTACTATAGTTAAATAATACTGATGGTGAATTCTCTTTAACTCAATTTTGATAACAACTACTCTCTTCTAATATTTAATGAAATAATCAGGTAAATCTTAAAGTTTTTATGTTATTACAGAAAACTTTGAAATAAAAAACATACCCAATAAATTTTATGTCAAAAGCTATGTTATTTTTTCTTAAAAATTACAATCATAATAGAAAAATCTTTTTACTGTCAGCAGTAAGATATACAGGATTTTGCATACTTGATTAAACTGGACAAACTTTTACTTGTAGTAAGACAATAGCTGGCTAATTTTTTTTATATTGAAACTAATATTCCTTTGAAACTGTTGGATTCAAGAGATATCAGTTTTTAAAAAAGTGTCTTTCTTGCACACACACACATACACACACACTCTAAATCAGCATTGCTGATGAACTATAGTTAAGGAAAATAAACATGGTAAACATGCACAGCACATATATTTTTTAGATTTACACGCTGTAGAATTGAAGTTTACACAATATTTATACAAACTAAAATGTCATCCTGAAGGAGAAAAAAACACCACACATGTAAATTCATACCCGCTCTTACATGTTTTCCAAAAATGCACAGGAGGTAAACATATAGTAACCAGAAGAGAAAAAGAGGGGGGAGTCGCTAACTGTATCAAAACCAAAAAATGAAACAAAATATAGTTAAATCACCACACTTTTTAAATTGTTAATATTTCCCTTTATTGTACTACTGTTTAGTAAATAGTATAATTAATATTATAGTTTTATATAACATCATTATGCATCAATTACTTCCCTATGTTTCTACCCTGTTTATATAGTCACTGAAGCTCCCTATGACACATACACACACACATGCACACACAAAATAGACCTTTAAATATCCACAAAATCAAATAGCTGGGTCAAATACGTCAGAATAGCTTAGTTGTACAAGTCTCTCGGAGAGATTTCAAATTATTTCCCTAATTCTGTTCCATCATTTATATAATTTACTTTTATTTGTGTGTTTTTAAGCTAAAATGTTTTCCACAACTTAATGTCTCTTTAGATTCAAATCTACTTGAAAATGGGCTAGTGCCAAAGAAGCAATCTAACACCATCTATGTGGTTCAATAGCCATTTATCAATTGATCATTATCTCTATCTGGTTTTATTAACTCTTTTCTAGCTAGAGGGAGACCTAAACCAATTTTCCCTTTCAAAACACACACACACACACACACCCTGACCTCCACTAACTCACTCAAAACCCTGAAGGTAACATCTAATTTTTAAAGCGTGGCACAAGTTATTTGGTCCTAAGGTCAGTGAAAACACACTGTGTTCCAACCACAAACAGAGCCACCCAGGCAGGGATATGCCTCAGAAGCACACCTCTCAAAGCACACTGCAATGACAAGGAGTATCTTCGGGAGGAAATGAACTTCACTTGCAAGAATGGGAAACTGCACATACAGAGTTGCTTATTGGGTTTATGTTGGTTGCATTTAAACCCCAGCTTACCGTATCAGCAGTAATCAGGGTCCCTCTACAGGATATGTCAAAATACACCTTATTCAAATGCATTTATCCTTTCTAGAATTCTGTGATCAAACTGTTCGCTAGCGATCTGCTACAAAACCCTGGCTCTGTGCACAATCTTCTGCAGATGGATTTCTAAACTTATGGTTGTTCATAGCCTAGCAGATTGTTCTCTTTCCTTCATGATCAATACTTTTAAAAACCTAAATTAATTCCATAAAATATTTCATTCTCGTGAACTCTTACAAACAAAACAAGTTTTTTTTCTTCTTGAAGAAAGGAGTTATATTTTTTTTAAATGGGAGAAACACTATCAATTTCTTAACCGTCATCTGCTTAAAATCCAAGTATTTGCCAGTGATCCTTCCGTGCTGCGTGGATGATAATATCACACTAACTCTGGCTTTGTGTAAGGGTTTGGTGCAGGCTTTTGAAAAGCAAGACGTGTCTGGGAGGGAGGCACCAGGGAACTTCCCTCCCTCGCTTGAGCACAGTCCAAGATGAAAGTTTCTGGGTTGTTTCCCTTTGCTTCCTCTCACCCTCGCTCCCCCTCGGAGCCGCAGAGCCAGCAATTGTGCAAGAGGAGCCGAGCGCGCAGGGCGCGTATCACGGAGCGCATGGTACAAGCCGCCGGCTCGGTGATTAATTATCAGTAGCCGCTGGCCTCGCACTAACACCTAGCTTTCCCGGCAGGGCCAGCACACCCA